AAATGTCAACGCTCAGGACGGCGCAATCTTGTATTCTATCATTCTTGTATACGCATAATATTGCTTGGCGGTAATAAGGAGTGAACATTAAAATGAAAGCTGAAAAGGCACAAAAAAGAGCACGTTACTTGCAAGCAGGGTGTCCAGATTGTTTAAAAGAAAGCGCAATTTCTGAAAAAAAATCCCCAAAAAAGCCCAATTTTTTTTTTTTTTAAATAAAATTCATAAAATTGATTTAACAAATCTTTTATTTTAACAATGAGATCTTGTTATAATATGGTTTTTAAAACCAAAAACGAACATAATACCTTCAGAGGGTAATAACAAATAACACAAATCACTTATATAATAATGATGTACAAACAATTTTCTTTAAAAATACGCATACTTTTAAAAAATATTTGTATCAACACATTTTGCAATAGGACTGCGCAATTATTAAATTTATTATAACTCACATTAATTGATTAATCGCACAATCCGCTTTTAAAAGCTCGGCGCTAAAAATTAAATAAAAACCTATCGTCGTTTAAAGTACAAAACCGCGTATCGTCATTCCACAAAACCGCGTAACTGACATTTGCTGCCAAAAATTGGATTTGCTCACACTTGCTCTTGGCTCAAGCCTTATCCATTCGTCCGGAAATATACCAGCCAGAAATGTGATTGCTTTATAAAAAAAGACAACCATTTTGAAATATGAGTGTTTTGCTCTCTAGAAAATAATTTATGCAACCTCACATACGCGGTTTTGCATTATCTTGATACGCGGTTTTGCACTTTAAGCGACGCTATAATAAGGCGAGATCAGCTATTTCCACAATTTCTTCAAAATCACCTATAGTGTCTGAATGATTTACATTTCTGTTGTTGTCATATATTGAGCTATTTAACCTTGATAACATACTGTTTGCAGCAGAACCTATTAGCCTTCATATAATACTTTATTCGAACTATTGAATTAAGGCTTTCCAACCAATTCATTACGGAAAAAAAAACACGCTCAACAAAAGCATGTGAGTGCGGCAAGGATAATAATATGAATTTACTTTTATTTCCAAACATTTTATTGCCTGTTGCGGGTTTCACTCCGTAAGCAATTATCCAAAATTCTTCAGCGTCGGATGGAATGGTTCTGAGAAAAGTTATTATTTTCTTTGCTTTAAAGTCAAATAGTGAATTATCTACGTCCTTTGATAATACCCTTGTGCACAAGTGCGCTCTGGTATAAAAATTAAAGGCTTCGTTCTTGAGATCGAATTTAAATATCCACATGTAAAGTGTTGGATACAAATGGGACGCGACATTTTATCAAGTATTTGGCAATTTTTCTCTTCTTTTTTTAATGTAAATTTTTTTTAACCATATAGACCCAATCTTCAAACTTTGTGCAAAAATTATGAATATTCTGCACAGTTTCATCTAAATTACAAACTTTTTAATAAGAATTTCTAGGAGAATTTTTAGAGTTTTAAGTTGTTTTTTAGTAGTTTTCACAGATTTTCTCCCATACAAAGTACGTATATATGTTGGACAATTTTTTTCTATGGAAGAAAACAAAAAAATTATTTATAATCAACGCGATCAAAGTGAAATTAGAAAAATATTAATAAACTTTTTAAGGTTTGACGAAGTGGTGAGCCTAGTTGAGTACGTAGATTAAAACAACATACCAGAATTTGGAATTGACCCCCAAAATCTTGGCTTAATGTTGAAAACCTCATTTTCGGTAGGAGCTTACACTTGGCCTTAACTTCAAATGTACAAGTATACCTGGGTCAATATAATGAAAGTGCGGCATTTGACAATTTTT